CTGGGCCCGTAACCGCGCCTCTCTCTCCATTCTAGGGACCGTTGACGGCGCAGCCCACGGCCCCCGTTCCCGTGACCGCGGCCCAGCGTGCCCTCGCCGTCCATCACTGCAGCATCTGTAAATGTAAAGCGTAAAAGTGAGCGAAATTTTTTTCTTTGCCTTCAAATTTGTGACGTACAAAATGGTATTTTATCAATTGAAGAAATATTTTTAGGTCGTAAAGTGTCGTAAAAGGTATAGGAAGGATTATTAGAGAATTCAAGATATGTGCGCTTGGGTCGAGAGTGGAAAAGTACTGAAGCAGAAAATTCAGCTTTTTAAACGGAATGAACACGTAAATCAATAGTGCGTGTGGTCTGTCTTGTTCATTGGTTGATTCCGAGTTGAAATTTCATAGTCCAAAGAGCAGCGAATGATCTTAAGATGGTCGATCAAACCAGCTGGATCGTACCCCGAAGCATCAATCAGCTGTCTCCGTAATCAAGGGAGAGCTACTCGCTGTGAGGACGTCTCCATGGGAATTTCGAGAGGTATCCACCACTCAATTATCCGATCCCGTACACATTCAAGCTGCTATCGATTTCGGGATACCCTGTTCTCCGTACAGATGAGATTGAGTAAGTAATTAAATATTCTCGCCAGAGAATGGAATAGTTTTTCTCTTTTTATCGAAAAACGTAAAATGGCAAATCTCACTTACTATCTTACACATCGCATTAATAAACATAGAGATTTCGATAATGGTAAAAAAATATTAATAAAAAAAATATTTTGAATAGATATGATAAATACGTAAACATGAAATTCACACGCACGAACGGGGTCTACACGCACGGGTTGAAAAACAGGGTCTACACGCACGGATTGAAAAACAGAGTCTACACGCACGGGTTGAAAAACGGGGTCTACACGCACGGGTTGAAAAACGGGGTCTACGCGCACGGATTGAAAAACGGGGTCTACACGCACGGATTGAAAAACGGGGTCTACGCGCACGGATTGAAAAACGGGGTCTACGCGCACGAGTTGAAAAACGGGGTCTACGCGCACGAGTTGAAAAACGGGGTCTACACGCACGAACGAATTATTCTGCAATATCTTAAAGTACGGAAATTTCATATGTAGGTCAAAAGCAATCCAATGTTCAAGGATTGGATCATTATTTTTATTCTTATTACTTAATTTCACTAGTTCTCGGCAACTTTGAGGTAATTACCAACTTCTCATAACAATAGACAGGTCAAATATTGGAGGAGGCATAGAAAAAATTTCGCGCAACAACGTATCCGCCGGTTACATCGGGAAGGTTTTTACACGGCCCAGAAATCATTGGCTGCCACGTTCGTTTCAATTTCAAACGCTTCGGGTCAACATCTCTATGGAAGAGCAAATAAATATTCAGGTTCCGGGGGAACGCTGAAAACCACTTGAACCACGTCGATTTCAACGGCGGCGGGAGGATGGGCGAACGAGAGGCAGCGGTGCGAGAACGAGTTGGCCTCGAAATTAAGAGCAACTAAAAATTCCGCCGTTAGTCGAAAGTTTATCAAAAAAAAAAAAAAAAAAAAAA